TTAAATTTTATTTCCTTTCATACTGTAATTTATATATTAAATTTATCATATTACTTTTTTTGTTTCATAAAAAGAGCTTAACTTAGTTAAATTTTTTCGTACTCCTAGCAACGCTTTCCATTGTAAAATTTAAAAAAAAGAACATTTCCTTTCAACACTTACTACATGCAAAATATAGAGTTAATTGTCATAATTATAACACTTCCACTTTGTCTCTTTAGGAACGTCGCGCTGAATTGGTGCGTCAGAATAAGGCGGCAGCACAGCAACCGTTATGTGATGATACCAACACAGCTATTGCCTCATCTGGTTAGAGCGACAACAGCAACAAGAACACAAAAACAATAATATTTATAAAAGAAACGGCACACATACATAGAAAACAAGAAAAACAAACAGTAACACACAAACAGAGCAAAAGAAAATCGCAACAACAACAATAACACTAAAGATGAATGATAGCGGGGTTGGAGGAGGCGTTTTGCGGAGAGAAAACCTAATGTGCGACAGGATGAACCTTGGGCGCATAGCAGGGTAACGGTAGAAAATTGAGCAGCATACAAAACTCTGGCGCAGCTTAAGAGCACTTATGTAATATTGCAAAAAAAAAAACAACACTAACAACTTAGCATAGGAAATGCGACTAAAATTTCGAGACGAAACCAGCCGTTGCACAACTTAAATGATATTTAAAAAATATATAAAGCAAAGAAGAAACGAGTATAACTGCAGCAGTAATAAATGAAATGGAAAAAAATATATATTAAAAAAAATCATACAAATTATTTAAATGAAGCGTTTTCACAACACTCTTGCATATAGAAGGAAAAACAATAAAAAATACATACCTATGTAATGATTAAAGATGATATGCCGCAGAAAAGCAACAGCAAAAAACCATAATTCAACACTCGTCAAAGGCAAAACCAGCAAATTCAGCAGAAAAGATAACCCACTTTATAAATTATAATTATCATTAATAATATGTAAAATGAATGAGCTGCAGCAAAACATACATAGAGAAACACACTTTACTATTCGAAGATAATTGAAGCGAAAGCATAAACATTAAACGCATTAAAATATACATATATTCTCATTATTATTATGATTATAAATTAAAATTATATTTTTATTATTATTATTACTATTACGATTAATTAACTGATTTATTGATTAATTGGTGTCTTTCGATTGATTCACAATTTATAATTATATTTCTTATTACTAATAAAAAGAAAATTATGCAAAATGAATGATAGAAATGATTTGTAAGCAAACACACAAACACACACAAGTGGCGCAAGCGCTCTTTTTCAGATATTCAACAAATACTCTCTCTACTTAAAATAAATATAATCGCAAGAAAAGCAACAACAGCTAATATGAAAAGAAACAAAACCAAAAAAGAAAAAAACACAAAAACAAAAATAAAAATAACAAAATTTGACATTTATTGAAGGAGGAGGAAAAAACGCATTAAACGATGTTATAGCCGTTCGAAATGGGGGCGATATAGGGGATTTTTTGTAACTAAATAGATATCGAAGTGGAAAATATAAAAAATAAATACATACATATATGTAATTGGGGTTTAAATGATTTTAAATGACTTGCATATTGAATATGGGTTTTCTGTAAAATTCATTTGTCATATTTCTGTCTGTGTGTAATGCCATGTATTATATTTATATATTATTCCGCAGGAACTATAAACACATATAATAATTGTAAAAAAAAAAAATCAAACAAAAACGTAAATTCTCCAATGTTTGTCGAGTAATGCGTAATGTATGAACGGTATAGAAGGGTGTGATTAGAAACTTTTGAACTAATTTATCATTTTCTGGAGCTTTACCAAAACATAATTTGCATTTTTACTAATAAATAATATGTATTAATTTAATTTACACTTTAAGAAAAATAAACTTGAAAACCTTAAGCAACCTTATTGATTCACAAGAAACAGTTTTGCTTTGAAAAAAAAAAACATTAAACGATATAATTTAATTAATATAATTTATATTCTCTTTCTACGTGAAATTTTGCAAATAATATAATAAAATTTTCTGTTTCATTTATTTTCTTGTTATTGCACCATTTAAAAAACTTTGCGTAATTATATAATATATTGTATGAACTAACAAATATTGAAATTTAATTCTTCTTCATGGATGGATAAAATGGATAAAATATAAAAATAATGGATAAAAATATAACTCACTTTGCAACTATTTATATTCGCGAACCACATTAATTTCTTGTTTACAAAAATTGTATTTTTATGCATAAATTTAAGTTTCTATATTTTTTATAATTAATACCTTGCAAGTAAAACACAAAATACATTTTGTATGTGTTCTTTTCTAAGCAAATAAAAATACAATAAGATCAAATTTAATAAGAAATTAACATTTAAAACCCCAAACCAATATAACCTGCTTGTATTAAAAAAACATTAAACATTGTGAAAAGCGAAAAAAAAAATTAATAAAATTATAAAAAAAAAATACTAAAAATAAATGTGTTTTATTTAAAAAGTTTTAACCTAGCTCTAGATAAAGGACAAGATCCACTAATTGAAAAGAAAAATAGTTTTTATGAAAACCTGAGAAGATAAATGCAGATATTTTGTTGATGCAGCAAAATGCGACCCAAAGAGTATTGTAGAATGCCAAAGAGGAGTCTAAACTTGGTAGGGCCAACTGCTCTAGAAACAAATGTCGACTGCACGACATATTCAGGGTTGTTGTGGAATCTGATAGTTGTCGGAATCAGGATTTAAACCGATCAAAAAAAGCAGTAGGTGTCATGAATTCAGATATTATTGGTTTGATATTGGAAACGGAATTTGCGTCTGTTTTGGGCGTCACAGAAACCAATTTTATCGGTTTTGCTGTCAGAAACAAATCAAGAAGTTAGCCGCACACAGATTTAAAATGCAAGATAAGAAATCAAGTCATTTTATTGTTACGAATAGGACAAAACATAAATATAAAAACGAAAAGTCTTAAATGTCGAGTTTTGGGAAAAATGCGAATATTTAAGAGGGAACCTGCTTTTTTTTGGAAGGGATAGAAATAGTATATTAAAGCGAAATGTCTAAAGTTTATAGTTATATATTTTAACATCACCCGAAAATTTTTTGGATACGAATTCTGATATTCTGTGGGAAACCAAAAATTAAAACAAAAATCATATTTATTAAAAACGTATGTTCAAGTTAAACTAGGAAAATTTCCAAAAAAGTTTTACTTTATGTTGTTCAAACATGCGTTCAAATTTAACTTTTCTTAGTATATTTAAGTTTAAATAGAAGATAATTTAATGTCAAAGATAATAAACTTTACCCCAATTTCATACGAGGTTTACTTTTTGTTTTACCCTGCCCGCCAATTAAGAAGACTCGTAAAGCGGAAAAACCGAGAAATCACCATCAAAGTTTTCACTTTCTGCCCAAGCGCTCATATATAATTTTTAAAGAAATTTAAGCAAAGAAGAATTCAATTTTTTAAAACTTCTAAAGCAGGTTCCCCCCTTAAAGAAGATTTACAAAGCGTAATAAACGTAATTTAACACCTAAATGCGTCTTTATTCATTCGATTCATTATCTCTTAAAATCTTCCTTTAATGCGGAACTTATTAAAAACTTTAATATAATATCCCTGTTGTATTCCAAATGTATTTATTTGCAAGTTTTATCACATTAGTAAACAGCTGGTTCGAATATTGGTTTTGCGTATGTTCGAAAAGACGAAAATCCAATCAGATTCTGTGACACCATTTAAAATCAGAATTGGTTTGCAATTCTGACAGCTAAGCAGTTCTGTCTTGGCTTCCACAACACCCCTGATTAGTTAAAAAAAACCAGTTCCATATTTAGTCAAATTTAGACACACTCACATATTTTTCTAAGAAATCAAAGAATAGTAAGAAAAATTGGACTACTTTGCTATCAGTTCGTAACCTTTGATTAATAATTTTTAAATTAAGTCCGACAAAACTTTGTAGAATTTTAGAAACAAATTTGAACGCGCTATAACTTGAAGTAGTCACCGTTTAAAATTAATCAGCTATGAATAAATATAATAGAAACATTTAGAAATGACTTACCGAATGCAAAAATATATGCAGATTTTTTGGAAATTCATATTTTTCAACTTCAACAGGCACTGTGGGAACACTTTCACAAACTAACCTTGTCTTTCGCTTATTCTATTACAAATAACTTCACTTGAGCGAAAAACTAACGAAAAACTTGAGTGAGAATAATATAATTTGTAGAAAATTTGTAAACTAAATTTGTGGACGACATACAAATAATAATATTTTATGAATGAATACTGGAAGAAAACTGCAACGGGGAAATGTTCCGTTACGACGCTAAAAACAAATACACGGATACTGTTAATCAATGAAATCAGCAAAACAAAAACAAACTCACTCCAAATTTAACTAAATTAAAAATTAAATTTTAAAGAATTTATAATTTGTAATTCATTTACAAAACTAAACACTAACGAGCTTAAATTTCTTACTAAATTTAATTAAAAAATAATAATTTAAACTTTGTAAGCTCTTCTTCTTATTCCGATTACAACCGTTCACAATTAACAAATTCCAATCAAAACCGAAAACCAAAACAAATAAATTTGAGGTTACTGCATGCGTTGGGTGCACAAAATACGATTAAAGCAAAAGTGCAAAGATAAATTTAGTGCTTGGTTAAATATAAAATGGATGCCGATGATATTACGCTTCCTGCGGATACACTAAAGATACTCAATGAGTTTTTAGAAGAAAAAGCGAAAAGGGAAAAGGAGGAGTTGGAACGCATAGATAACAAATCAGATGCCGATATTATGTTTGAAGAAGATTGGGTTTGTTATTAAGACATTGAACCATATGCATTAAAACCACAGTATAAATATTGCAGCAATTGAGTCAATTTTGGTATAGTGAATCAACCAAGCAAACGCTAGGCAAATTGGTAAGCAAGCTGCTGAGCGAACAAGAGAATGAGACAAATGTGAACGCCTATCGCATAGCTCTACTGTCTTGCCCATCGCTATATACCACTGTCAAGCAAGTGCACAAAAATGGTATGTGAAACCTAAGGATTCCTGAAGCGTTCTATACATATGTATACATTTTCAGTGAAAATCTTCGAGTTCGACAAACGCTTCTCAGCTTACGGCGACGACTTCGTATTTTATGACTTAAATAGTGCGGAGGAAATTGGATATATGCATGAATATAAAGAGTCGTTCGATTTCATCATAGCCGATCCACCATTCTTGTCCGAAGAATGCATAACTAAGATGTCTAAAATTATCAGCAATTTACAAAAACCAACTACAAAAGTAGTTTTTTGTTCCGGTGCCGTGGTAGAACAATGGTTGACCAACTGTTTACAATTAAAGAAATGTAGCTTTGAACCAACCCACGAGCGAAATTTAGGCAATGAATTTGTTTCCTATGCGAATTTTCAGCTTGACAACTACTTAAGTTAATAATTGGTTTAGTATAACTGTTACAATAACAAATAATTTAAGTGTATATAAATGTAATATATTTTTAAGCTTGTTCACGTTAATAAGTCTGGGAGATTTTATCAATGCTAAACATTTATGATAAATGAAGCAGCATACGTATCTAACAAGTTCAATAAATTATACCAACTTAATTTAAAAGCTTAATTATTTTGTCGCCGCATCAGCTTCTTTGCGTTGTTGGACTAATTCGCGTAAACCATCTTCTTGATCTTTTAATGATTTCACTAAGAATTCTTTTTTCTTATTGAGTAGCTCAATAGCCTTATCACATTTTTCCTGTTTGGCTTTCAGATCACCACGCATATTTTCTACATCGGTTAAGACAAACATACGTCCCACAGAAAGGTACACTCTATAAAAGTTAAAGAAATTTAGTAAGTGACAAATAATATATGGTATATATACAAAACAACTCAAGCATTAATGGAATTCTATACTGCTTCCATAACTGCTGATATACAACATTGTATTCCTTGGGTTCGTTCTATATACTTGCATGAGCTATTTCCACTCACCTTGTGTCATCCTTCAAATCGCTAGTGCCCTTTTCGGTCAGTTCGTATTTTTGTTTACCATTCTTAACCATACTGCATTTCATGTCAATCATATTCATCTTTTTGGTTGTCTCGATTTTATTAATTTGCATTTCGGTAAATGCCTATAATAAAAACAAAATCATTTTGTGAATCACGTTTATGCTATAAGCGGCGCATACAAAATGCTCCAAATATGTGCCTCTTAACACTCACCTTTTTCAATTCCAAATCCATTTGAGCCATTTTTGATTCGTTGTTTATATTTACTATTTACTGTAGTTATTTTAATTTATTAAACAGGGTAACTTGATTAAAATATTAACACCTGCAAATTTGTATCCCTTTCATATACTAAAATTATCGCAGGAGTTCTCTTGTCATTGAGAACATTCACAATAATGCTTAAGTTCACAAATTACTGTCAACAAAGAAAGAGATGTTATATCTCATAAAATGCAGCTATATTTTTTATTTGAATTCCGAGTTTTTTATTTCTTCCGCAATATTCCTTTTACATTTTATTATTATAAATTTCTATTTTTTCCGAGTTTTATTTAGTACGGGAAATTTAATTTGAGCAACTTATAAAAATATAGCTAAAAATTTTTATATTATTGAATATTTGTTCCGTCCGTATTTTTCATTCGCAACTTTTCCATTTTTCTGCCTAAAAGATTCACATTTAATTTATGCATACAGAGGAACTGCCCATTGAAGAAAAGCACGGGAATATCATTACGATATAGTCGTAAAAATCGTACATTTTCCTTTTTTGTGATGTCTACTTTCTCTATCGTATATTGGCCGTCAAAATATATTTCCATTTCATTTATTAGTTCATCACACAATGCACAGTTATCCTTGGTATACAATGTTAAATGAGGAATCTTATTTTCTTCTTCATTATACGAACTAAAAATCACAAGAAAAGAAAAATTATTTAAATTCAATCCATTCAATCATTTATTGTTTTACTCACATTTTTTCGATTAATAGCGCAGATGCATTTCCAGTTTCATTTGTTATCGCTGCACAGCCTATTTGTCCGGGATCTAATGCATGTGCCAGATGTGTTACTAAACGTGCGCCTGACATTGCTATAGGATTACCCAAAGACACAGCTCCACCATGCGCATTTACTTTTTCGGGATTTAACTCTAATTCTTTAATTACGGTCAGCGGCACTGCTGAAATTGAGTCGTCCAACTCCCACAGCGAAACATCATTTACTGTATAATTAGTATGATGTAATAAACGCTTTATAGCCAGCGTGGGCGCCGTTGAAACATCGCAATCATCCGTTTTTGACTCGTTATATGCAATTATTCGAGCTAACGGCTTAATATTCCATTCCATAGCCCGTTCGTTTGTAGTTAACACCAATGCGGATGCACCATCACCCATCATTGGTGACATTTTTTCATTATAGTTTGTCAACTCATCCATAATACTTAGCAGGGGTCGCTCTTCATCTTCAGTCACCATGAGCGGTATCCTGGAGTGCTGCATTATTCGTAGTGGCACCAATTCTAAATCGAATAATCCAGCTCTAGACGCTTTACGCATACGCATGTATGATTCTTTTGCATAGTTAATGAAATCTTCTTTCGTGACTCCAGGAGTTTTGGGAAATTTATTCTTAAACTCCTCCGGTACACCGTCTGAAACTAAACCATCTTGCATAGTGAAATCTCCAAGGTGAAGATGGGTTCTTGGCATGTAATAAGGTACATTCGATAAACTCTCCATGCCACCTGCTATGGCGGCATCTGCTAGTCTTAATCTAACAGCTTGGGCGGCAAACATAATTGTTTTCATGCCAGTTACACAGGAGGCGCTCACTGTTGTGCAACAAACACGTTTGGATAAACCGGCTAAGAGGGTAGCTTGACGCGCCGGCGCCTGCCCAACTCCTGCAGCTAAGACATTGCCAAAATAAACTTGTTGCACCGATTCCGGCGGTACAGCCGCGTGTTTGAGCGCTGCATCAATAGCAACAGCTCCCAACTTGGCCACTGGTAAGGCGTGATAATTACCATTAAAGCCGGTAATGGGCGTACGTACCGCAGAAACAATTACCACATCGTTAAAATCTTTACCTCCGTAATCGGTTAGGTATCTTGCCGAGGAAATGCGTGATACATGCTATGGATTTAGTCAAAATTCATTTTATATAAATGATTTCCAAAAATGTATTCTACTAATTACCACTAATTTTTGACACAATCTGTGCATTTTATCTGCGCACGCTCTTCTTCTTCTCAGCCGGTAAATTCTACCACTAAATTTTTTGATCAGCTGTTTTTTGTAATAGATTTTGCGGAAGTCTATAACGAGGTCTATATAATTTTCATGTTCCTGGAAATGGATTTGAATTTTTACAAAAATATTTGATGGAGCTATGAAAAATTTATTGTTTGCTTTTTGAAACTCCGAAAGTTATTCAAATAGTTAAAGTGTTGAATTTATGTTATTTATAGACAATGGTAATTTGGAAGAGTTTAACCTCAGCCGAAGAATAACAACCACTTTTCATCTAATAAAGAGGATAAAAGAAAAATAATGTAAAACGTGAAATGGAATAAAGGTAAGAAGCCAATAAGAAAGTAAGAAGGAAATTTATTGCACTTTAGTTGCATTTGCATTTATAAGTAATAAATGGCAGGATAGTACAAAATAAATGTAAAACAATACAACTAAAAAAATAAAACGTAAGAATATTTAATTAAATTCATGAAATTTCGGGTCTAAATTGAATCCGTCTTGTGGAATCTACAAAAGCTAAACACGTCAAATATATATTCTACACAGGCACAATGCATACATCAAAAAATATGCATTTGCATTTTTTATTTTTTTTTTTTTGTGATTAATACGTAGGAAAATGTAGTTTCCTAACATCACCAAATAATTTACATAGCAACTCGGTACACGTACATACATACGCCTCATAATTTCATGACATAGACATTTTCATTTAAATCAACTTGGTGAACACAAATTATTTGTGAAAACAATAAAAAAATATTTTCGAAAATTCGTTAGTTGTGTGTGCTTTGAATTCTAAAAATATTTGCTAATTCGGCTTATTTAAAATAAAATTGACTTAAGACGTTTGAAAAACTCTACGCGAGTAACTTTTCGATAATAAATTTAAGCTACGCAAATCTTTAAAACGTTTGTGTACAATATTTTTGAAATTTTCAATCTGAATTTTTTCTGCTCCTCCCCACGCAACTCAATCGACCCGATGGCTTATATAAAAGTGAAGCATTCGAATTTATTGCGTCTGGACGACGATGCCATATTGAGTGTTTGGAATAAACTGGAACCAATCGATCGCGTACAATTAGCTGGCGTTTGTAAGCGTTTTCGCAAAATATTCGAAGAACGCGATGCGGCACATTATACCACCTTCAGAATGGAGAGCCTTTGGCAGGTGTCCGTCAAAGATATTGAAAGCTATGCTAAGCTAGTGGGACCGCTAATACAGGAGCTGCGCGCTTACACGCCATGTGTGGGTAATATCAGAGCAAAGCGATTTCTTAAGGGCATGACCGGTAATTGCCAGCTCTTGCGACGTGTGGTCTTCAAAGGTGTACGTGTGGCATTTCAATTGTTCGAGTTGTTTGCAAATGCGAAATATCTCACGGAGTTATATTTACAAAACTGTCGGCTCATCGATAAGGATGTAGATATGATTACGATGCTGTCTAATTTAATGATACTCGATTTGTCCAAAAATAACGATATTACCGGTGCGCATCGTTGTGAAATATTGTTTTATGAAAACAACTAAAAAAAACCTCCGTTATTTCAGGTCACGGTTTGTGCGCCCTAACCAATCTACGTGCGCTCTACTTGTCGAATTGTAAAAGTTTGAATCCAATCAATTTAGTACATGTCTTCAAAAGTGCGAAACATCTTTGTATACTCGACATTCAGCAGCCCTACACGAATACCAGTCTGGTGCCGGTCTTCCTGGAGCTCGGTCGCTATTGTCGAAATTTGGACAAATTGCGTGTGACATTGCCGGAACATCGACGTTATGAATCGCTTGCACGTCTGCCCAAATTAACACAGATCTTCGCATATGGCTACGTGCGTCGCTTCCTCATCGACTTACGCAATCATCGCGCCCATCATATGCAGGTAATTTTTCTTGAAACTCTGCAGCAGGTGCCATTAGACGTCACATTTATGCTCACACAATTTCGTGAGTTGAAGAAATTAGCTTGTGATGGTGATTTCGATTTCACGCCGGGCTGTATTGATGGCTTCGAAAATCTACGAAAACTTACGTGCATTAATCTCTATAAAACGGATGCGTTAACACCGAAAGATGTGCTGACACTTTTGAAGAAATGTCCGAGATTGAAGTTTGTGCAATTATTCTTCAAAGTATTCGTTACAGAGGCGTTTATATTCGAACTGATCGAGGTGCTCGAGAAACGGCCGGTGAAAGTGAATTTTGTAATGAATTTGCAGAAATCAAATATACGTCGCGGCATCACGAAGGTCAGTACTGAGAGGAAACGTCTACTAATAAATTCTAATTTGAAGTTTTATGAAATCAAAAGCAAAAATAAGCTATGTATATATTTTCAAAGATATTTCTATTGAAGTCCCTTTGCCGAATTCTTAATCTCAAATAACCATCCAAATAATGATTACAAAATAAATAATTCATATTTTTCTTTCAGGATCCACGTTACCTAAATGCCAGGGACACTTTAAATATTATATTCAGTGCTCAATGCATCGATTGGGATAAATGAATTTTTAAGTTGGACGATAAAATTATACTTTTTATGATTTTTGTTTTGCGTGGTAATACCTTTTAAGCATATATTGTTTGTTTCTAAATGTGTAACGGTATAATGGAATAAATTTATGCGTTATTTATTTACAAAAGTATAAATAGTTTGATGATGTTCAAGGCCCAGGTGAAAAACAATTAAATATCATGATTGAGGATATAGTGCTCCGCACAATAAACCTTAGGTAGCTAATAATTTAAGTCCGTGTCACATTTGATCTGATGTTAGTGTGTTGATTTATTTAAACTTTTTTCGGAAATTATTTCTAATGTTCAAACAATGTTAACAAGTCTCAAAGAGAAGCAATATCGTCGCTTTGATTTCTAAGCAAGTACTGCAACGGAATCATTACAGATTACAAAGAATTTTCACCGATTTCTTGTCAAGCAAATGAAAGACTGCTTTCATATGAAAAAATACCTCTCCGAAACAAACTAACCCAACCAACGTAAGAGACTAAAATAAGGCGAATAAGAAAAGTAATAATCTTTATTCAAATCAAGCTCACTTAGCTAAATTCACATTTTGGTTTCAAATAAAGATTTTTTAATTTGCTTTGAGCCTATTATCTTAAATATAAATATTTGTATGAACTTAAGACGTTTTACCTTGAAATTTGCATACTGTATTTAAAAAGCTTAAAGTTGAATACTAAAAAACATAAATAATACTCAATTAAAATAATACAAGATATCACACTAACGGTAAAATATTTAACGCATTGTTGACAAATATACATTAAACCAAGGAAACTATTTTTTCCAACATTTACAACTTTCTGATTTTCTAACGATAAAAATAAAAACAAGAATATAATACAACAATTAATTTCTTCAAATTTGTTTAATCCCTTCACACATATTTTTAAAAGTTTTTTATTGTTCAAAACTATCCCGAACTTTCCAGTCGTTCTTCTTCGGGTACATTGCGATATTCAACAAGTGATTGACCACAATCGCCAACACGTCGTGGCTCCCAGTTCCATACTCGCGAGAGATGACGGCGTATTTCTTCGAACCGACGCCAACGCCACCAACCCCATTTGAAGCAACCCCACGCAATGAAGGAGCAAACACCGAACAAGAAGCATGACATAATTATCTTGCCAGTATAGCCCTTTTTCTGCTCGGTAACAGCGCCCATTTTAACGATAGCCGATTGAAATGGACAAATAGTGATCGGCATCCAAGGCGTGAGGAAACCACCGGCCAGCGAGAAAACACGCACCGCTACCTCATTGAAGGGCGCATCCAATTGTGCGATTAATTGATAATTATTAAATTCATGTTGGGAACGTGTTACGCACTCGTTGTGTGATCGAAAACTATCGGCATCTGGTTTATATAGACGAAAATGCACCACATAAGACGTGATCACACCATTCGCATTCTGCGGTTCCGAAAAGTATACATGAAACTCATTTAGACCGCCAACACGACAAGCCATTAACGATTCCAAACTGTCGCCGCTAATGGAGAAGTTCGTACGCGTCGAGTGAAAAGCGTATGCACCACAACCTGCTTCATTGCAGGACTGCACCTGTAGCGTATACAGGCTAAAACGTTTCAAATGCGTAATGATTGTCGCATTACGCGACGTTGCATCCAAATTCTTTCTTAACCATGCATTCATTGGCGAAACCGTACCGGTCGACATCTCCGCCAAGTTGGTGTCGCCGCGGCAATTTTCCATTTTATCCAAATTACACTCGAACAGTTTGCGCATATTGTGTACGAAACGATGATCGTCCGCTTCTTCTTCCTTGCGCCTGCAACATGCATCCTCATCCTCGTCGTTGCTGACAATTGTGTCCTTGTCGTGATACATGAGATTCGGTTGCACGCAGAAATCACGATGATCCAACAACTGCTTACTGTCGGTCAGATTATAGACCTCCAGTTTATAATAGGTTACGACATCGTCAGGCGAATGTTCCAGTTGCACTGTGAGTGAAACATCATTTTTCCGCGTGATATTGATTGTTGGCGGTGCCGGCAGGTCCACTCTCGTGGTCATGTACATCAAATCACTACGGGTATCGTGTATGTCGGCGAGTCCGAAGGTTTTTACCAGACATGCGTAACGTGTTCTTGGCTTCAAATCGTTTGCGGTATATATATAGTGTGTCTCATTGCTTTCTAAGTCCTTTGGAAAAGCGAGTATGCGTGTCCATTGAATTCTTCGGCAGATATGTGTATCCAGCTCGCTGTGCTCTACAAACTCCTCATTCGCTGCGATCGGACGATACATGATTTCCACTTCGCTAGATGTTTGCTCTTTCGGCCAGCTGAATTTCGCTGAGCGATGAGATAATATCTGTGGGGTTATGAAAAAAAAAACCGAGCTACAGTACCAAGCAACAGTTTCTCAAGGAGTCAAGTAAACTAATGTATTTATAAGAGCGTGTTTGTAAGATGATATGAAAGTGGAATGCCGTAGGTTAGGTTAGAAAGAACTGGTAGGCCAATAAACCACGCATAGACCAGTTTTAGTCCTTTGCGATAGCAGATGGAGTTCAGTTCCTCATTTCAAGAGAAGTAGTCATCCTTTAGTATGCCTGGGCTTGCGC